AAGTTTCACTTCCTGTCTAACTTTAGTAATAAAAGGCGCATTAGAGGCGCCCCTCCGCCGCCAGCCGCAATTCCAAGTGCTTTTTTGATGTTATTAAACTATTCAACAGCCAACTATGCACCAGCAAGCAAGTGTTGGTCAAGTGTTGCCACATCTGCCGCATTCGAGGGCAAGTATAAACGCTGTTGCAGCCACATTAGAGCTCACCACATCACCACTCGGCATCATTTCGTACAGTAATGGCAAGCACTTGCACTGGTGCGGCGCCTAGGCGCCTAACATGCCGCACAAAGTTGCAACTAGCCACTTGCCACAGTAATTAAAACTCCAATATGCCAAGTTGACTAAATGACACTTTGCTCGTTTACTCGTTTGCCCATTAAACTCATGCCGCATGTTGTTTTTGTGCGAGTGTATGAACTTTTTAATATGAACGCGCCGCGTTACAGTTTTTTTAGACCTTTTTTGGCATGTCCTTATTGTGTGAGTTTTGAATCAACTTTTCGCTTATCATCCGCACACAAGCACACAGTAAACGTCCGCAGCATCCAATAAGTCATTAAGTTATGGGCACTGGCATTAAGTCCCGACACACACACGCTCACACGTACAAACACTTGCCATTTCACATGTCAACTCAACTGAGCTRCGGCGACGCAGCCGACCAATCAACTAGAAGTCCACAACCGGGCGAGCCAAACATTGGGCACTCCTTGGACTGTAGCGAAGTCTCGTGCGTTTTGTGGCAACCTTGATCGGCACTTATTAAATACAGTTCGCGGCTCAGTCCGCAGTAACAGTGTTAGAAACCGAGCTACGCCACCAATGATTCATAACTGGTCAATTCAGTCGGAAGGATTATGTTTTCTCTTGTTATATATTTCTGAACTAGTCGGCTATTATACTTCAGACAAGGATTTAGTATGAGCTTTCTATAAATTATAAATTTGCTTCCGCAGCTTTTAATCTAAAGATTCAAAGTGTAGGCGTTTCTGGTCTTCAAACATGTTTGTTAACAACAAATGTCGGAAACGAAATCAAAACGATCTGTTTGCTTAAAGAAAAGCTAACACCGGTTCGAGACTTTAAAATTGCACGAATAAGAAAGATATGTCTGCAATCACAACAGATTATCGGCTCGATTTTATGTCACTTTGAAAGATTTTCGACTTTATGAAAGCACTTTGGAAGCATTTAAAAGCTTTTCGACTTTATGAAAGCTCGTACCCTCCATAGAACTCTTAATTTTGTACTCCGTTTGACACTTCTGCTTTCAAAACTTTACAGTTACTATCTGTTTCTTTACAATTTCTAAATTTTCGAGCATAGTCATTTAATGGAAACACTGTATTGTTGGAAGAGCTAAAAGTTTTTGAAAATACTGGAGAATTGTTTACATTCACTTGGAAGCGTGCCAAAACTGACAAGTACAGACAAACACTGCTTGTGCGTGTGGATGTACGTAAAAATATGCGGCGAGCTTAAATGGGTATCCTTTTGGCTGCAAGCCCTTGGTCAATTCTCTGCGCCAGCTCCAATCACAACAAAATTCTTCGACACAGCGACATAGTGTGGAATATGTGGCAATGGTAGTGTGTGTATGTGTGTAGCAATGAGCTATGGCCCACTATTTTGCTTTTAAATATATTTCGCATTTTTTTGTTGTTGCGATTTAGCTAAGCTAAAAGTATCTGTTACTACGAGTCATTTCTGCGTTTGAGCTTTTGATATCTTTCATTTATCCCAAGCTAAGTGCAAGGACAAAAGCTTTTGGTTATATAATATTTTGTAGGAATGTTTGATATGTTTACTTAACCGATATACGAATTTCTTGAAGGAAAATTTTTAAATTTTTATCTTTGAAATTATAAATGGTGACTAATAGTTACATTTGGAAAACTTTTGTACGTTTAAAAATTTTAGTTGACTTTACAATTAGTAAGCTCGACGAATGGCTCAAAAAATGCCTGGTAATCTTCGTTTTTGAGACAAAGCTTTGAAAACTGAACTTACCGAAAGCTTCAAAGATGTCTGAAATAATTCTAACTTCTAAAAGAGATTGTAATCTCTACAAGCGACATTTTAGTTATTCGTTCTAATACTTAGTACAGAAAAAGTGGCAATAGGTTAAAAACAAAGTATGAACGAGCTGATCGAACTGATATTCGACACTTTATTTAGATATTTACTAGTCGAAAAAGTCTTTTCGTATTTCTAATCACACTCCAACTTTTTTTTTTTTAATATTTATAATGAACTTTAATAAACCAAATAAATATGTACCATTTCGGTCGACCACTTTATGCCTTTTTTTGTTAGAGATATTATTTCATTAGTGTAAAACTTTTCTGGTTTCTCAAGATCGAAGCACTTTCTGTTGATCAGCTCTGGCAGTTATTTTTGACTGCTTGCTTCAATCTCATCATTTATTGACAGTAAAATGGGTAATCAATCATTCGACCAGGCTGGAGCAGCTCATAGTGGATGACTCCTTTCCAATCTCACAAAACACTTTCGAGGCGTAAATCCAGGCTTTTTAACCATTTGTTCAGCTTCGCCACGCTTGGACCATGATCTTTTTTACACATTATTGTTGTATTTGATTCACTTTTCGTCTCCAGTTACCATTCGCTTCGCAGACAATTCATGTGGTACCCAAACAGCGAACTTATTTTTTATTCATCATCATTTGATGATGAATGTTAAGTTTCTTAGCGATGTCATGGATGCTTATGTGATGGTCAATATTTTTCATAATTTCATCGACTTTTCCAACGATGGGTCGACCTGAGTGAGGTTCATCTTTCACATTGAAATTTCCGGAACGAAAGCGAGCGAAACATTTTTGTGCTACACGAACTAATACAGCAGCGTCTCCGTAAACTTGACAAATTTCATTGGTGGCTTGCGTGGCATTCTTCTCTTTTTTATACAAAAATTTCAAAATATAGCGATTTTCTTCATTAATTTACTAATTTTTGAACAGCTTTAACTGCTTTTCATCTTCCCCGAATTCAATTTTTTTGGTTTAATGAAGCTTAAAATCTCACCTGTTCAACACTATATGGTATGACACAATGTGATTGGTAACACTGGAGATATACGATTGCCATCTCTTGAAGAATAGGAGACTTTTTCGACTATCAATATTTCTAAATGGGACAACCTCACTTCTGTTTCCAAATTTTACAAAATTATATCAGAATATCAAGCTTTAAGTTTTCTCAATTTAAAAACCTTTTTTTTTTAATTTGTCTTAAAACATACAGCTCTAATACCAAAAACTCCAGCAGCGATTGAAGAAATCACTTGAAAGGTCACACTCTGAAGCTTGTATTGCCTGCTTTGACACAAGAGATGTTTAGGAACACTATATCTAAACAAAACATTAAAAAATTATGGGATGAACAGGTATCCCATCGACCTTATCCTTGAACGGTCTTTATACGGGTTTCCCCAGGAACTGATATTTGGGAAAAAACTTTTCAAGAAAATGCTTTACCTGCTGAGTACATTTCAGCTAACGATCAAGTGTAGGCGCTGGTTGTGGGTATATACACGTATGTACATACATACATATATACATATATACTTATATAGTTTATATATTTGTTTACATGTATCTGCGCCCTACAATTTTTTACACCAACAATATCCAACCTGCAAGCAAAGCAATCACTTTACTATTAAGTTTGGGACAGCGCCGATGAGATCGTAAACACTTTTACTCTCTGCGGTTGTGAATATAGGTATATACAGGTATTTAGATACTATGCGGCGAACTCTTATACGTCGGCATCTGTGAGATACTTTCAGTTGTCTGTTATACAAATTTACATGCAACAAAACGAAATGCAACATGTCTGATGGATTTTTAGCATTTCAGCAAACGCTTAGCAGGAAGCAAGCATTAATTTATACACACATACATATGTAGATATATAACWGAATTAATTATTTTTTATTTACCAAAAATGTTTGAGCGTAAAGTACGTATCTAAGATGAGGTGTGAGCAGCACCAACAATATTTTCTCCAGCATCCAGTCTCTACGGTTCGACATTGTTGCTTCACCAAGTCCGCATATCGGCAACCAAGGACCCGATGCGTCGATATAGATATGTGTGCGTGTATGTAACTGCGTGCGCTTCCTTCCGTTGTGTTCATTTGTATTCGTTTGTGTGTGTGTGTGTGTGTGTGTGTGGGCTTGTTCGATGGCAACTTAAGCAGAGACAGCTGGCGGCAACAGCTGCCGTTTGGAGTGTGCCTATTAAAGTATCTCAACAAATGCAAGCGGATATAGTACGAACACTTGAGCATGCACGCGGCCGCACACACGCACACACCACCACACGCAGGCACARKCGCASCGTCGCCACTGCAAAGGTATGAAGTTATGAAGCAAGGTGCAGCCGTAAAGAAAGCCAAAGCAAACGACAAAAGACGTGTTTGAGGCGCTCAGCTGTTTCGCCGTGCCTGGCGTAGCTGTGAGATACACGAACCACGCTTGCTCTGCGCAGCGTTGGAACATGTTGCATACGCCGCATAAACAAGCTCTCGCATCGAGCARTCCAACACTTTGGTTTCGGTATTTGAGGGCCGGCCGCATGAAATTCACAAACAGTTGCGTGCGGAACGCGAGTGAGTCTATAGTGGTTCTCTGAAAACGAATTGCTTGTGCGGTGGTGGAGTGTAGTAGCCAAAGCAATATCTGACAACCAAAAAGCAGATATTGGCGAACGAAATTTTAAGCACAAAAATAAATAMATTTTACAAAATTGAGCAACTTAATTGAAGAAAAAGCATAAACAAAACAGTTCGGCAGCAGCACTCAGTGGCCTCTAGTGGAAACAACAAACACAGCGTGGATGAAGTGAATTGCTCAGCGAGGAATATGAAAATAATTAAATAAATAAAAACAAATTTGGGAAATAATTCACTCAAGCACACAACAACAACATTTTTTCAATGATTTCCCTTTCACTACGCCTACGAAATTAATTGAAAAAAAAACAACAACAGCAACAACTATAAATAAAAATAAAATATCAAATCAGAATTGAAAATAACCGAAATAAAGGCAATGGCAAAGCAGCATGCATAAATTATAGCAAACGTTTATTGTGCATATGTATGTGTCAATGTGTGTGGGCAAATAAAAATTTCAACTAAAAGTGCAAATAAACTAACTGTACATTTAGCAAAGGCAGCGAAAGAAGAATTCATCATCGCTCAAGCAAATTAAAGCCAGCTAATTCACAACAACAACAACAACAAAAATTATAGTGGCCATTTAATAAGGCGCATGCGAATTTRTACGAGTTAGAAAAACGCCAACAACAATACAAATTTAATAAAATTAAGTGAACGGCTTTTTTGTTGTTGCATTTTACATTTGTGAGCAAAGTGGTGGTGCAAACGGCCCGTAAGCGCACTAAAGTGATTGCCTAGTGACAACAACTACAACAGCAAAAACAAAMACACCGTGGTCAAAAGGACTTGTGCAGTGTGTGACAACAAAAGTGCAACAACAATAACGCCATTGCAACTGAGCAACAAATATAGCAAGAGGTGTGCATTAACGGTAAAACAAAGGCAACGCGAAAGTGAAAAGGCAAAATAAACACAAGTTGTGAGCCGGCGGCGTTATATGAGCGTGTGAATGAAAAGTTGTTGCAAAAACAAAGAAAAAGCACACAATTTGGATTACGACTACAACAACAAGGCAGACATATGAATTGGTGAGTTGATTTACATTGCTTTACTGCTAGATTTAATAATTGCCTGTGATTTATGGAATGTGTGGGCGCTGTGGTACAAAAACAAAATCGGCTGTTTGGGCGAGAATTTCATAAGAAACGCAAATAGTTTAATTGAAATGAGTTTTCTTGTGGCAACACCAATACTTTAGCTAAATGGCGGTGTTCGCTGCTGTTAGGCAACTTTTTCCAGCTGCAAAGACAACAACAATTCGCGTTTTCGTAAATTTGGTAAATGCATGCAACATTGTATGAACCTCGTTGTACGTTGCTGAACATATTTGCATTTGAACGCGCCCAGCCACATGCACAGTTGTGTCTGCCTGTATGCCTTTGGCAGGCTTTCTCGCCAGTAGCATAGGGAAATGCAAGCTCGATTTTTTATTTCGATTTCTCCCGCGTTTTTTTGTTGTTCTGACAGCATTTGCTTGCAATCTTGCAATGTTGCCCCTAATGACAACTGAGGTCGCGCGTCTTGATGCGCAATCAAAAGTGTTGCACATTCAGCCTCGAAGCAACGCTTGCCACAATTMCACACACACACACACACAAACAAGCAGCCTACCCACCTGCTTAGCTGACACTCGATAAAGCATCGCAAGTGTAGGCAATAAAAAGTGCAACAACAGCAGCAACAGCGGTTTTTGCAGCCTACACGCAAATTCCTGGTTGCATGCTACACACGAAACAAACACGTGTGCTCGTGCAAAACTGTCACCAATRAACATAAGCAAGATTATTGGAGTGTTTACGAGCGGCGGCAATGTTGCAACATGTCGACCTGGGCGCATTGTTTTTACTGTTGGCGGCAATAGCGGCGACTGTAATGGCCATTATGCGTTTATTGACTCTTTCAAAAGCGGCCGTGCGATTATTGGCGCATAACACTCGATATCAGCYGCATGCGGCATGCATTGCTTGGCTTGCTTGTGTGCGTGTGTGTGAAGGGGGGCAAAAACAAATTGCTAATGCGCGGAAAATGCAAATAATCGCTTATAAGAAATATAGCAATCATAAACATAATGAAAATGTTAATTCTCACAGCGGCGCACACACGTTGCAAGTAAGCAAGCTAGCAGTGGCGTTGCTCATTTGTGGCAATTGTGCTGCTTTCACGCTGTTAGGTCGGTCAACCGTTCGTTTGGCCACGGCAACAGGCGCGCTGCAAGAACGGCCAATGGCGTTTGTGCCGCCGGCTGATGTACGTGCAACTGCTTAGCGGTAAGTAACCATCTATGCCACTTACCACACATCGCATATGGACTGGCGCATAATTAGCAGGAAGTTGTGCATTCGCAATCGCTACGTGCTGCTAATTTGAATTGGCCGCCAGAGCAACAATAACAACAACATTGCAGCCAGCACAAGTGCTGCAGTCGATTATTGCCACTGCTTGTTGCTGCATTAGCGGTTTGGCAACAGTTAGGCGAAGGTCGCGGGCATAAAAAGTCTACAAATTGTCATTAATTCTGAAAAGCATTTTAAAATATTCAACCCATTTTTTTTTTTTTGCAAAGTGTGAATTGTTTTGGAAAAAAAAACGAATTAAAAAATTTAAAAAAAAAATTCGAATATTTTTTCGACAACTTTTTATTTTTACGTAATTTTTTATTTTTATTCACAATTTTTTTTTACACATATTCGCGCATAAAATCATCTGCCTGCATCGCTTGTRCGCCCAGTGTGCATGTGCCACAAATAGCGCGCTTCCACACGCGCAGCGCTCAATCAATGCAATTTCGCCGCGTTCGAGTGCGCGTGAGTGCCGTCAAGTGTGGCAAGTGAAAAACGCTAAGCAGAGCGAGTGCAATTCAGTTTTAAGTGCCAACTCGCTTGCAACATTTAAGCAGCAAAAAAGMGCACAATAAATTTACCGTTTTTCATAATGCTTTGCGATTTTTTCGTGTTATTAGTTATTTGCCAAGCATTTTTGGCTCTAATAACTCTATTTCTACACCAACAAACACGCACACAGACATCTTTTCTACAAGCGTTGCTTTAATTTTATATAAATAATACGTATAATTGYAACAACAACAAGTGCTGTTTTTATAATAAATGTTTGGTATTAATTAACGAACGGCAACGAAGTRCAACGAACACGCAAAAGCCTCAACACACACATAATTATATACATGTATGCACAGTAGTTATGACTGTGTGTATGTATGTGTGCTCCTGCCACGCTAGCTGCATTTTTGGCGCATTTTTCTAGCTTAATTGCTCAGTTTTACGATTAAGTTATCGCTGTGTGTTTTTTCGCAATTTCTCGATTTCATATTTTATTATTATTTTTTTCTTTTATAGAAATAAACTGCACTGCAGCGCTTTTAATTGTTTTGAAATTAATTTGTTATTAATTTAGTATTTACTGCTTTTGATTTTGCCATACCAACATGGTGGCAAATGCAGTTGAATGCTTCAGTGATTTTGAATGAAGTAATTGGAAAAATAAAATTGAGAAAAATAATAACAAAATTTCCGAAATCGGAATATACTTCATACAAAATCACTGAATGAAAATAAATTCTTAATTATTAAAAAAAAGTTTGTTTATACCAACAAAAATAAGTGCAAATAATATAAATATGCTGATATAAAACAAAATCAAAAAAAAAATAAGTTTCTGTTTTAAATTTTTTTGCTTTTAGTTTTTTTAATACATCAGCAAAAATAAGTAAAATAGATAATATAAAAAACAAAAAAAAAACTAAAAAAGATTAATAATAAATAGAAAATCATATTATGACGTTTTTGTTTCTGTTTTCAATTTTAATTTTTTATTTTTCTTCTAATATTTTAAATTGATAATTTTTTATATCAACAAATCAAAGTACAACTAGTACAAGTACCTCAATTTTTCAGCGGCATGCATTTTTAGAAGCAGCAGCTTATTTAAACTCAAACATTTCAAAAATTTTCAATTATTATAAAATGAAGGGAAACACTATTGAAAATAATATATATAAATAATAAGCCTCTAAATGCCATTGAAAACGCTTTTGAGACGCTTTTTTGAAGTTTATCGCATGAATTTACACACCACTGCTTTTAAGTGACAGATGTATGATAGCTTCGGCAAATATCTACCATACGTACATACATACGTACATACATATACAGCTTTAGACACAAATATAAATACATACATATGTGTCATCTGTTTACAGCCGCGTAAATGACACAATCCGCATGTTATTTGGGCGAYTTTTCAAGCCGCTGCCACACAAACGCAAGCATAACAAGCACACGTAGATATATACATGTGTGGGTGCACCTACATTTGGCACTCAACATACATGCATACATATGCACAATTGATTATATATTTTAGCAGCAGAAAAACCAACCATAACAAATCGAAGCGCGTGCGCAAAAGACTCGCTGATGTTGCCACAACAACGCCTGCAACAACATATGCATGTATCTATACACACATACAAAAGAGCCACCCAAAAACAGTCGAAGCGTTACCAAGCAACAGCAAACAACATACCAAAAAACAAAAAAAAACATACCAAAAAAAACAACAACAAAACAAAATACAAATCGTTTTTTCGATGATTTTCCATTTTTGCTGATTTCATATTGCCAACGTTACTGTTGTTGTTGCTATTGCTGCCGCCCGTTTATTGTAAATGAAACGAATGCGATTAACATAATTCACTTGTACTTAGTGGCGGTTGGCGCACACAGCGCTAAGTGCTTTTATTTGTTGTTGTCACTGCTGTCGTTGTTGTTGCTATAGCTACTGCTGCCACTAAGCGCCTGTCGCCAGAAATCATTTGTTGGAGAATTACAATAATTGTCTTGGTCAAATTACACGACACACATTAAACACACACGCACACTCACACCAAATATGGCAGCAACACGCATAAATATCTATTATATAATACTTATGTACTTATACATGTGTGTGTGTGTGTGTGTGTTTGTGTTAGGCCGCAGACCTTGGCTGCTGATTTTCTGCAAAAAATGCGACAATAAAAAGACAATTGTACAAAAAACCACAGACTCAGCCAGTTTGAAGTTTGTTAGCGTAGACTTTTCTTAAGTGTCCAGCAGCAGCAGCAACAACAGCAACAACCACCGTGGTATTATGTGCTAATATATGGGGAAATAGTAAATCATCCGCAATTTTGTGGCTGATGATGACAATAATCATGTTTCAAATGGACGTCGACAGCGCTAAACGCACCTACACAAACAACAAAAACAATTTGGARGTAAAAACTACACACACTTACATATGTTGGTGTATAATATGCGCACATTAAATGCCAGGTTTAATGTTTGGCGGAGGGGCAGGTGAATTTAATGTGGCCGCCGTTGCTGCCTAAGAAAATGTTRGCATTTTTCAGAGAAAATTTTAAATATTTAAGACTAAAAAGCATTTTTTAATTTTCAAATTTGGCTTTGATTTAAAAAAACCGATTTAAACAATGTGCTTTACTCATGCTAAATTCATGCAATACGAGATTTTCATTAAAA